GGAGGAGGGCAGAGGACACTGTTATGGGAGGAGGGCAGAGGACACTGTTATGGGAGGAGGGCAGAGGACACTCTTATGGGAGGAGGGCAGAGGACACCTTTATGGGAGGAGGGCAGAGGACACTGTTATGGGAGGATGCCAGAGGACACTGCAGTGAGGGTAATGTGAAGAGGGACAGAGGACTCTACTATGGGGGGCATAGGACACTACAGTGGGGGGGAGTAATGTGAAGGGGGCAGAAAACACTGCTTAGGGAGGGGGGCAGAGGACACTACGTATGGTTATGTGAAGGAGGGAAGATGACACTATGCATTGTTTTTATTGATGGCTTGGTAGTTCTTTTTTTCTTTTTAAGGTCTCCCTCCCCCTCCCCCCGGGATCTTTGCTTTCCTCCATCTTTTCCAGATAGAAATCAGTCTCTAAAAGTTTGCCTATCCCTGCTTTATTATGTTGCTGGGATCCAACTTCCTGTTAGAGGGAGGCTATTTTCGTCCTCCATGGTCCCACTGTATGTAGGAACATAGCCACCCCCGCTTGCTCATACACGAGATGGACTATGTACTATGGGATTTGTAGTGTGCATAGAGCAGTGCACATGACCATAGATAACATACACTGCTCATTCTAAACAAATAGAAATGAAGGGGGAAAGGAGAGGTTTGGGAACTCACAGAGATGTTACAAGGAGTCAAAAAAACAGAAAGAAAAGATTTCATGAAAAATATATTATAGCTCCAATAAGTAGAAGATGAGTGTATTTCTGGAAAAGAAGAATGAGAACATTTAAACAGCTAGGGACACTTGTGAGTGAGACCTGTCAACACATTGTTGAGGGCTATCCTGCCCAGTATTTGAGGAAAAAAACAGTTAATTGGTTACTGACTAACTGTTGTATTTAACATTGTCTCTAAATTCTTTCTTTTTTACAGAACATACACAATATACACTCACCGGCCACATTATTAGGTACATCTATCCAGTGCAAAGAAAATATCCCCCACACCTTTACACCACCAGCCTGAACCATTGATACAAGGCAGGATGGATCCATGCTTTCATGTTGTTCTTGCCAAATTCTGACCCTACCATCTGAATGTCGCAGTAACCAATCTGCCCATTCTCCTCTGACCTCTGACATCAAGGCATTTTCATCCACACAACTACTGGATATTTTCTCTTTTCGGACCATTCTCTGTAAACCCTAGAGACAGTTGTGCATGAAAATCCCAGTAGATCAGCAGTTTTTGAAATACCCAGACCAGCCTGTTTGACACCAACAGCCATGCTATATTCAAAGTCAATTAAATCCCCTTTCTTCCCCATTCTGACGCTTGGTTTGAACTTCAGCAAGTCGTCTTCACCATGTCTTCATGCCTAAATGCATTGAGTTGCTGCCATGTGATTGGCTGATTAGTAATATGTGTTATTAAGCAATTGAACAGGTGCACCTAATAAAGTGGCCAATGAGTGTACATAGTCAGAGGTTGATACAGGAAATTGAACAGTAATGTAGCACTGGGGTCTCCAGTTTGAATCCCGGTCATGACACTATTTGCATGGAGTTTGTATTTCCCCTGTGCTTTTTGTGGGTTTCCCTGGGATACCCTGGGTTTTGTCCCACATGTCAAAGACATGCTGGTGGGTTAATTATCTCCCATCTACATAACCTGTCAAGGCATGGAATCCATTACACCTCCAAAGATATGCTGTGGTATCTGGCACCAAGCCATCAGTAGCAGATCCTTAACCCCTTGGCACCGGCACCTCCTGGCCCTTTAAGAGGTTTCAGAAGCGGGGAGGCAGGGTGGAGTTTTAGGGTCATGTGACCGCCGTGATTTGCTGTCACGGCAGTCACATGATCGAAAAAGGTCCCGATCGCAAGGGGAGATCGTGACCTTTCCGTGAGTCACTGACATATGTGCTAGGAGCACGCAGGGCGCGCGCCCTCAGCACATATGTATTTTCAAATGGTATGCAAATATGCAGCCCCTTGGCGTCAAGGCCTAGATGCCGAAAGGCCACATATTTGTGTGCGCTCGGCATCTAGGGGTTAAAGTCCTTTAAGTTGTGAGGTGGGTCCTCCATGGATCAGACTTTCCAGCACATCCCACAGATGCTCAACTGGACTGGGATTTGGAGAATTTAAAGGTCAAGGCAACACCTTGAACTTGTTGTTGTGTTCCTCAAACCATTCTTGAATTCACCAAATCAGGCCACCTGCTTCCATTGCTTTGTGGCCTAGTTCTGATAATGGTTAGAAAACTGCATACTGTAGATTTGATCATTGACTTGTAAGCAGGTGCAGTCTAGTTTTTCCACTGTAAGTGGCACTCAGCCAGAGCAGCAGTACAGCTGGAGGTAGAAGTCAAGAGAAGCTTGGTTTCTCTATGATTCCCTTGGTTCCCTGGAGCAGCATTTCAGTTGGCTACATTGCATCCAGGTAACTGTGGCGGATGTCTTGGGTCTTTTTAGAGACCCTGCCACTAGGTTTTGGTGCGCATTTGTGAAATGGCTATTGTAGAGAGAGCATACCCATCTGTCAGGGATAGCACTAGTGGTAGGGACAGGTTCCAGAGGAGTAGGGACAGCTCAGTGCCTACGTCTGCACTTCAGCAAGCTCCCTTTTGGGCTGGACCAGCCATGCCTCATTCCATCCCCCTTGGCAGGCGCTGCCTTCAGTTCAGGTCTACTACCGCTGCCTCTCTGCTGCATTGACTGTAAGTTCCCAGATCAGTGAGCTACCCCACCAGGTTGTTGTACTGTTTGCAAGTTCTTCATTACATTGGTTACTGCACTCTAGACCTCTGTGTATTTACTGCCGACACACCATGCTGTACCTACCCAACAGACTTGACTAGTCAAAACTGATAAAGGCAGAGTTATCTGACTTTAAACCCATCACTTTGTGACTAGTGATGCTTACAGTTCAGCTACACTGACCCCCCAAACAGAAAAAAGCACAAACATTTAGTAAAGCTGAACATGTCATGTTTTGGGACAGGGAAAGCTGGTTTGCTTACATTTTTGTACCCCATGCACTGCCAGATTGGCCCTCTGATTATACATTTTTTAACCAAAGTATCATCTATCAGGCTGTTTATTTAATTGGGTGTATTAAAGTGAACCTGAACAACCATGAGCAACTGAAACTGGATATAAAAGCAGCAAAAATAATATGTAAATCTAGACTTGTTCATGTAAAGTTCAAGCCTTCCCTCCTGCTTATCAATCCTTGATACTGGTCAGTGAGGTCAAAGAACAGAGGTATACCGCTCAGGCAAACAATCCACGACAGGTGCCGGCTCTGGCTCACCACCACACACGATGCAATAGGAAGAAGGGTCAGCCGCACACTGGAGGATTGATGAGTATAGTGAATATATGGCTCACTCCAGCAGACTTCAGTGCTCTCCTTCAAATCTGTGGGCAGACTCTTGCCATCCTCTTGTAGAATGCAGGTCCTGTATTGTACCTAAAGATGATACTGTATGACCGCTGCCTGGAGCATTAGAGAAGAGGCATTGGTTGACTGGTAAAATAGCATGGAGGAAGCCTGCTGAAGCAAGGAATACGGAGTATTAAATTTCCAACACCCTGCACAAGATCCATCCCAGTATCCAGAGAGGGAGCCTCCTGCACATCCTAAGAGCACCCACTCATCCCTTAAGGGGAGCTCTGGCTGATTTTGTATCACCATTTAAAGCCCCAGGATCCATTTGATGTACCATTCCACCCTTCAGAGGGAAGTTACCCCAGTACCTGACTTACCCTGAAGATACCCTGATGACATCTGGATTTATGTTTATGGGCGCATTTACATTGCGTGTCTGGTGATAATTCTCCCACAATTATTGCACAAGCACCCACCCACCAGGAAAACAGGCACTTTAGGAGCACTGAAAGTCACCTTTCAACTGTTAACCATTTTACGCTCATTTATAAACTTTTATGCATTACCCTTTTATCAGTTTTTATGGTCTTAATATTTTTAGTGTTGCACCATTATTGTATTGTTTGATTGACGTTTTATCTTGGTTACCTTTGTGCATAGCTGCTGTTTTTTGCCCTCATCTTAGTGTGCTCACATACCTTTACCATTTATAGTGAATATTTATTGATCCATAGGACACACAAAACTCCAGGACATGTATACTGGACCTGTTAACGGGTTTCACATGATCTCGTGCTCAATCACAAGGTTGCAGTAAGGTTACCCATCGCATTAAAGGGCCAATAGAGAGGCAGGGGAATTGGAGTCAAGTATGTCCTATGCAGGAAAAGTTGAGATTTGCATATCTCCTAGATTGTAAGCTCGAAAGAGCAGGGCCCTTGATCCCCTCATGTTTTGCATTGTATTGGTATTGTTCTGTCACATGTTCTGTCTCCCTTTGTAATGTACAGCGCTGAGCGAACTATTGGCGCTTTATAAATACTGTATAATAATAATAATAATATAACATCAGCTGGCTGCAGATTGACTGTTTGAATGTAAGGTTTTATGGAACGTTACCTGTGCTCATCCACTGTCTTAGGCCCCTTTCACACAGTGTCAGTCTATGGGCAGACTGTTCTGCTCCTGTTCCACAGGGGGATACTCTGCTGACTGGAATGGACACCCGCTTGAAAGGTCTCTTAGGATATGCTCAGTTTGAATTCCCAAGGGTATGACAAGTTTACCGGAAGAATAATTTGCTTGGATTTAAGTTACTGTGTAAGGGATGGGAATTCTCCCCTTAGACATTTTCACTAAAACTGTCCCATTTGAAGATTTGCTCTCACTTATTGTTCTGGTGACATGCTAATGTTTTGGATTTCCTTTCACTTTCTGTCACTGTGACAATTGTCACAGAACAAATATAGGGGTGAATGTCCACAGCAAAGACAAAAACAGCAATAAGAGCTTGATAAAGTTATACCTGGCTCAATTTCTCAATGCCACATATCAGTGCCTTACCAGTGCATATCAATGCCACATATCAGTGCCCATCAGAGCTGCCTTTCAGTGCCAACTATCAGTGCCAGTCAGTGCCGCCTATCAGTGCCAGTCAGTGATACCTGTCAGTGCTGCCAATCAGTGCCGCCTATCAGTGCCAATCAGTGCCCATAAGTGCCAGTCAGTACTGCTTATCAGTGCCCATAAGTGCCAGTCAGTGCTGCCAGTCAGTGCCAGTCAGTGCCGCCTATCAGTGCCAGTCAGTGCTGCCTATCAGTGCCAGTCAGTGCCACCTATCAGTGCCCTAGTCAGTGCTGCCTATCAGTGCCAGTCAGTGCCAGTCAGTGCCGCCAATCAGTGTCGCCTAACAGTTCCAGTCAGTGCCACCTATCAGTGCCAGTCAGTGCTGCCTATCAGTGCCACCTATCAGTGCCATATATGAGTGCTGCCTTTCAGTGCCCATCAGTGATGCCTGTCAGTGCCCATCAGTGTCACCTACCAGTGCCTCCTCATCAATTCCGCCTATCAGTGCCCATCACTGCAGCCTCATTAGCACACATCAGTGAAGGAGAAAAATTACTTATTTACAAAATTTTATAACAGAAACTGAGGAAAAACCTTTTTCTTTCAAACTTTTCAGTCGTTCTTAGTTTGTTTGGGTACAGTGTTGCATGACTGCACAATTGTCATTCAAAGTGTGACAGCACTGAAACCTGAAAATTGGCCTGGAGAGGAAAGGGGGTAATAGTGCCCAGTAGGCAAGTGGGTAAGGCGATGGTAGCATCGTCCAGGACCAAGAGTCATTTCTGTCCATATTTATAATAGTTGTACCATATTGTAGGCACTGTGGCTTGGAGCACATGCAAAATGTGACAGATCTTATATATCAACTGTCCTCCATGCTCCAAAATGCTTTGGTTCCGGGAGATTTATCAGTCTTGCTGTTGCAGTACAAAACGGAGATACAGTAGATTATAAAGCAGGTTTACTACATGTGAATGATGTATTTCCCCATCTGCTGGGGACTCAAATCTCTGCATAACTGTCACAGTTGTCTGCCCAGGACTGCAGGCTCAGGTTACAGAAATCCTGCTGCAAACACTTTCCTAAAATGATCATATACTGGAAAATCCATATATTCTGACTGTAACTTGCCTTAATACCCTGCAGATGGATCAGGAAGAAATGAATAGGGAAAGAATCTGTTTGCACAGTTAAGTTGGCCCTTTGAGTTGCTGAGTCTGTGGTAATGTGTCCTGTCCCATCTGTCTCATCAAAGTACTAGATACTAGAAAAGTGTGTGAAAGGTCAGCTTTGTTTTTCTACTTTAAATTGTGTTATAAAACAGTAATAAATGATTATCTGGGAAAGTTTGTAAGGGTCAATCATTGGACGCTGGATTGCAGGTATGCATTAAACATTGAACATTGCTGTCTTCTATAAGAGAGTGTAGAATATACTGTATATACAATATATGGGACTACCTGAGGTTGGCTTTAAAGCCTAAGTTTGGATAAAATGTTTTTTTTTTTAAATCAGCACAAGGGATAGTGCATACGTTTAGTGAGGCGTGTCCTTTGTGCTGCTGCCAGCTGTACTAGTAGAAATCATCATTCTTCTGCCTCTTGCCCCCTGCCCCCCCCCCACCAGGGGCGTATTTGCTGGACAAACAAGGCATTTGCCTAGGGCGGCACTTTTCAGGGGGGCAGCACGGCGGAAGTGCCGTCCTCCCCCCCTTAACCACAGAAGGGACACTTCCGTGGGAAAGGGACAGGAGCTGCTGTGTCTTACCTGTGTCCGTGACTCCATGTCCCACGTCAATCCGGGCCACAAGGCGCTGCTGGAGGAGGGGTGCAGAGGGTGTCCGTCCGGTGTCTTCATCTTCCTAGATCTTGATCGCAATGTGGGCGGGATGACAAGCCCCCCTCAAATCTGGCCACACCCCTGGGATCACTGGGCAGCCTTCCCCTCCCTCTGCAAGCTCCGCCTCCTAGCCGGAGATTGGCCGCCAGATCTGTAGCTCAGAAAAGGCATACAGGCGGCCAATCACAGGCGAGGAGGCGGAGCTTGGAGAGGAGGAGCTGAGCAGCAGCGCGAAGATTGAAGATCGAGTGAGGGAGCAGCTGGAGCCGGTGAAGAGGAGGAGGGCGGCTGGAGAAGGAAGATAGCTGATGGGTAAGTGTCTGTGCCTGAAGGAGGGAGCCCGGGCTGGAGCAGGGGTCAGCACAGCGATGTAAGTATAATTGGTGTCAGTGGGAGTAATAGTGCCCCATCATTAGTGTCAGTGTGGGAGGAATAGTGCCCCCTCATTGGTGTCACTGACACCAATGAGGGGGCACTTTTACTCCCACTGACACCAATGATGGGGCACTATTCCTCCCACTGACACCAATGATGGGACACTATTCCTTCACGTGACACCAATGATGGGACACTATGCCTCCCACTGACACCAATGATGGGGCAGTATTCCTCCCACTGACACCAAAGATGGGGCACTATTCCTCCCACTGACACCAATGATGGGGCACTTTCCTCCCACTGATACCAATGATGGGGCACGATTCCTCCCTCTGACACCAATGATGGGGCACGATTCCTCCCACTGACACCAATGGGGGCACGATTCCTCCCAATGACACCAGTGATGGGGCAAGATTCCTCCAACTGACACCAATGATGGGGCACGATTCCTCCCACTGACACCAATGATGGGGCACGATTCCTCCCACTGACACTAATGATGGGGCACAATTCTTCCCAATGACACTAAGGATGGAGTACTATTCCTCACACTGACACTAATGATGGGGCACCATCATTGGTATCAGTGGGAGGAATAGTGTCCCATCATTAGTGTCAGTGTGAGGAATAGTACTTCATCATTAGTGTCATTGGGAAGAATAGTGCCCCATCATTGGTATCAGTTGGAGGAATCGTGCCCCATCATTGGTATCAGTGGGAGGAATAGCAGCCCATCGTTGTCAGTGGGCAGAGCTCTAATAGGAAGAGGTGGAGCCTATAGAGGAAGGGGTAGAGTTTACAGATGAAAGGGGGGACAAATTTAGATGCTGGGGGGGGATGCCCGATTTTAGTCTTGCCTAGGGCAGCACAAAACCAAAATACACCACTGCCCCCCACCCCACCACCCAGCGGTAATATTCCAATGCTGCAGGTGTTATTACAGCCACTAGACTTGTCATAGGTACTTGTCAAGAGTGTAGACCATGGGTGCTCAACCTGTAGTCCTCAGAGCCCTCTGATGTGGCCCTCGGCCTCAAACCAGGGAAGCACACTTCTTTTATATCCTGCAGGTTTGGTGCGCTTTCTGAAAGCATACCAAAACTCCTGAATGCAGAAGTTATGGTGCGCTTTCAGAAAGTGCACCATATCCTCAAGATATAATTGAAGTCTATTGCAGAGTACAGCTAACCTACAGGAAAGCCACAAATGCACTGCCACGTTGTGGGTAAACTGCAGCACATCAGTGTGAAAACAGCCTTATAGGTGGCTCAGGACAGTAAGGGCTCGTTAACATTTGCGCTTTTTGGCAGTAAAACCCCATGTTTGAGATGTGTTTTTACCACACAAGCCCAAAAACTGGTGTAGTGTCAGGGGTCAGTATGGTGACCCTCCCCCATGCTGCAGGGAACCCATGCAACCTACCTTCTCCTTCTCTCCTGCCCACCAGCATTCAGCGGCTGCAGGAGGAAAATGTTCATTATGATATTCTAAATAAAAAAACTGAAATTCTGAACCATTTTATTTCATTGTGGCCCATGACTGGTTACCAAATCACTTAAGTGGCCTTCACTCTTCAAAAGGTTGAGACCCCCTGGTGTAGGTTATACCCACCCTTTCCATCTCTTTCTTCTTTTCATAGAGGCTCTACAATAGCTTCCATCAATAAAAAGCTATCTATGAATGGAGGAGGCAGACCTTGCATCCACCTGTCCTCCATTCATAGATTGCTTTTCAATGGAAGTTATAGTACAGCTTGACAGGTCCAGTTGATAGTATTACCCTGACAGCTCACATCAAGATATATAATACAAAGCCGAAAAAGAGGCTTGTACTCATTTCATTGTAGGCAATGACCATCATAGACAGCAATGCTCTAATTAAACCATTTTTACTAAGAGTGGATTAATCTGTGGCAATAATATGAAGAGTGATGGTAGGAAAGAACAACATGTACAACATAGATGGCACAGAAAACTGCAGAAGGAAACCACAGCTGCCTGTCTAGCAATCAGAAAGTAAGGAGACTGCAAAAAGAGAGAAAAAAAGCTTGGGTACAAGAGGGAGCTAAGCAGATTTGTGGTTGGGAGAGGAGATCTCGAAGGATCTGGTGTGGGTAATGGTTGGGGGATGGTTGATTTCTAGTAGCAGATATACCTGAAAGCAGTATGCTACCTTAAAAGAAAAAAAAAAAGAGAAAAATCATGCTTTGCCAATAATGTCACTTTCACAGTGAGAGCTGGGTTGGCCTGGATTGTTTCTTAGATACACCGAATATAACTGGATCAGGGGCGAACTGACCATTTGGAAACTCAGGCATTGCCCGAGGGCCCGGGGTCAGTAGGGGCCCCATGAGATGCCCCTGGTACCTTTATCATAGGCTTTTTTGAGTTTGGGCAAGGACACAGGGGCCTCATGATCCCCTATTGCCCAGGGGCCCCATGAGTTGTCAGTCTGCCCCTGAACTGGATACTAACATTTATAGGTAACTTTGATCCAGGGAATATCCGATTGCCTCTCAGGGATCAGGAAGGAATTTTGTTCCCAGCATGAGCAAATTGGATCGTGCTTTGCTGGATTTTTCTGCCATCCTCTGGATCAACTGTGGGTATAGGATTATAACTTTTTTTTTGGTTGAACTGGATGGACTTCTGTCTTTTTTCAGCCAGACTAACTATATGTTACCTACATTCATGAAATTATTTAAGTCAAGATAACTTTTGCCCAAGCGGAAGAGTATGATGTCTCAGGATAAAGACTAATTAGTGGCTTTCTGGAGCGTTTTGCAGTGGTTACCTGTGATACTTGCGTTTGGGAACAGCTGTGTACCCCCTTTATGTTATTTTCTGAGATCTATGACTTGTTCATTTATTATTTTGTACAAAATATGTTTATCAGATGGCAGGTTCCAGATTAGATCAGTTTCTCTATAGAGAGGCCTTCAAGCTATACATTTCAATACAAGGTGCCTGAATGCAGTCTATCCCCAGAGATAAGAGACCATAAAGTCATTTAGACACATAAAAGTTTAGGAATTCATTATCAATACCTTATCTTTTATAGAGATGATCCTGTGAAGACACAATTCATTTCCCTTTGTCAGGTGGGAGATTGAACATTAAAATGCCAACATTTAAGACTATTACTGTGGA